ATTCTATACATAAAAATTTCCCTCCTGTGTGTTTCAACTTTATCGTCATAACGCGTAGGAGGGAAATTTGTATATGTAAACGAAACGCTCATTCTTTACCAATGGCAGTTAGTTTTCAAAATGATATATGAAAAAGGATATTTTCTCACCTGGCCTTATGTACCTGATTTCCTTTGGGTGCTATATACTTAACAAAGGAGGGATCTTACTGTTCAGAGAATGAGCTACAGTGAACAAACCTATTTGACATTATCATTTAAAGTGTATTGAATAAATCTCTTAGCAATTATATTCTTCTGTGCTGCTGTTTTAATTAAAATTATGTAACCTGTACAAGAAAATGTGGAATGTCATGTTATTTTTCAGTCTGCATGGGGGCATTGCAAACATGCATTGGTCTGGAAGTTGGTCATTAGGGTGATCACTGGAGCTGGTGATTAATACAGCAAATATGACAAACATTAACTGTTGAATTATTACTCAATTGCTACCAAAAAATAGTACCATCATTTCTGTGTTTTCATTCAATATTTCTACTGGCACATATAGGACACATACTGGCACACCTAGTACTAGGATATCTGACAAGTATCATCACAAATGCAGTGACTTGTTTCTCATTTACACATGTAATGTGCTTAATGTCTAAACCATAAACAAGGTTAATTCTTTGAGTGGCGTTTTTAGATGTTGGAGAGTCAGATAAGGACAAAAACTATATGGACGAACAACGTCTTTATTCAGGTGATGCGATGTCTAGATACAGATTCTTGTAAACATACATGTATATATACATCCTTGACAATGATACAAGAATCTGTATCAAAACGTTGCATCTCCTGCATAAAGAGTGAGTGAGTTTAGTTTTACGCCGCACTCAGCGATATTCCAGTTATATGGCAGCGGTGTGTAAATAATCAAGTCTGGACCAGACAATCCAGTGATCAACAGCATGAGCATCGATCCATACCATTGGTATATAATGATATGTGTCAACAAGGCCAGCGAGCCTGACCACATGATCCCGTTAGTTGCCTCTTATGACAAGCATAGGTAACTGAAGATCAATTCTAACCCGGATCCTGAATAAAGAAGTTAATCATCCATAAAGTTTGTCCATATCTGTATAAGCAAGTTTATATGAAACCACCATTCTTTAGCCCTTTTCCTTTATCGAGCATCATCAGCCATGTATAATATACTGGTCTCCGCGCGAATGTCATAAGTTAAAGATACGTAGGATTTCGAAAGCAAGTCCTTTTATTGATTTTGCAAAACATTCACGTCGGCAATCCCGATACAACGTATAATGAGGAATGCATCATTGCTTCCAAGAGTCATAATAATTACTTCCCAGTTAGCCATCAACAAACAGTTTCAACCGGTTTCTGTTTCCCGGAGATAAACCATTTCCGCCGCAACAGCAAGTCACACCGCTCCCAAACAAATGACTGTGTTTGGGCGTTTTGCACGACTGATAACCGCGCGCGCGATATCTCGGACCAATAAAGATCCTGGCGATCCTTGTTTCGGGATCCAATATGATTTTACTTCATGACGAACGATCCATCCATCCAGATATCGAACTTCTTCCATCCGGATTTACGGTTACGTTTGAAACGAAGAAACTGGTTGATATTGATTCTGGCAATCGCAGATCCAACCGTCCGAAGGTTCATCGATCGAATCATGGAGAACTGAAACTTTTGATATCGAACCCATCTGATCCGGAAACGAATCCACGATATCGAATCAATCGGCGAACTGAAGATGGTTATCTTTGAACCTGAAATAGAATCATATCATCTATTCCTTTGCCGAAGGCGTCGCACGAAACCTGAACTGCAAGAATGGAACTAACCGTTTGAATCCTGGCGAAGTTGTCGCCGGACTATAATGATGATTATTTATGGTATGAAAACCCATTCCGATGACGATGGATTCGGTAGAACGTTTTGTTATCCTTCTTCGAAATACGAGAGAAGAATCGAAACCAGTCCGTATTGCGTAAACAATCAGCGTAATCGATACGTCCACCGGTGGATCACGATATGAATTGAAACAACGAAGATGAGGCTTTGATCATCGATCGCATGGCGATGATCGGTAATATCCGAGGGATTGTTCAGAATCAATCCGGTAATGAATATGGTGGCCATCATAAATAAGAGAAATAAAACCTGAAATGATCAAGAAGAATATCGTATTTTGAGATGGTATCGACGGAAAACAAAATATCGTATTGACTTCTGTAGTGATATATATTTATCGGATGCAAACGAAGAAGAAAAACCCGTTCGACCGATCCGGAAAGTGTAGATTATGAGGAACTGCAATACGAACGATGTTAATATGCCGAAACATCCTTTGAATTCGTCTGTTCGGCAAAATATAGCGCGTTTATAAACGTCCTAATCCAATGGTATGAACCAGTTTCAGAACCTTGAGTTCGTCTGGCCATCCTGAATAGCCGATCTCGAACGCAAAATGCAATAAGCCCGCTTTCGGAAGGAGGACAGAACAACGACACCACTTCCATCCCAAACCCATCCTCGAATTTCAGTTTGATCCAGCCAGAGAAAGCCGTCGATCAATCGATCCGGATTGAAATACTTTTGATCCATCAGCGAATACGATATAAATGGCCGGTAACCATAAATCCATGGTTCGTAGCAATGCGTTTGTTCCAGGAAAGTGCCGAATAAAGCCCCGAATCATCAATCAATCGGCACCATCCATTTTCGAACTGGTTATCGCCGTTGATTGGTTACGATAATCGACAAGATCCGCTGAAACAAAATAAACCAGCATCAGCGATAATTTGAGATGGATTTTGTATAATCGCATGAATCTTTGATAAACATGAATGAAACGAATCCACCGTATTTGCGCCCGGTGAATAATAATTCCAGCGCGCACGATCCTCCGGCCTTTGAGCAAAACATTGAGCGTACGGAATAAACAGCACGTTAGCGTCATCCTCCCAAAACGAATCAATAACCGGAGTACGATAAAATTCAATCGTAAGAGACGAAGATACCGGTTTGTCTGTTCGGTGGAATATTGTCGATATGTGGCGATGCTGGCGAGTTCCGGCAGTCGCGTTATCCATCCCCTGTTCGAGAAGATACGTTTGAGCGTCGGTAATGGTTGAAAGCCGAACCCTGAGGTCAATCGGCATGCGGTTTAGCGCCACCGAGCGAACCAGTATCCTGCCGTTCGACCCACCGCGAGCTTCGAAAACGCCGATGGTTCCCGGTAAGATGATTTGTTACAGCAGAACTGTCCGGCATCTTCGGCGTTGCCGCAACCCAGTTTTGTTTGTCCTGACATCTGAAACGCGACACCGGCGTTCCTCGGTCTGTTTCAGTAAGTCCCCAATTGCGCGAAACTGTTCGAATAGTGGTGGAAAAGGGAGTTTTGAAGGAACAATATGCTTCAGCGAGCACATCCTGCACGGAGCTGAACAATCCAGTGCCGCCTGGCGATGCGTCCTGATGGCGTCAGGATCGCAGATAACGAAGAAAAGCTCCCCGGTTCAGCGTAAAAAATGAAGGTTCTTTTTTCCAGGCATCCGGTCGGCATAATGATTCTTTTATATGAGCTGTTCGGCACGCCCGCGTGTAATCAACGAACTGTTCGTGCCGGTTGTTCCGGCGGAAGCCATCATCGGCTTTATATCCATCCAGATGCTGGTTGATGTGGTTGCCGTGTTTGAGATGCAATAGTTTATACGGACGAGAGCTGAACCCATCATCGTTGAGTCGGCATTGCCTGGCGTAGCGAATCCGCTGGTGAGCAGTCCGGTCCTGAATATGTTTCAATGAAAACCGTCAGCGTTCGAGATCCTCTCGCGTTCGACCGAACTGCCCAGCGTCCGCAATTTTGAGCATTTTGATAACACCAGTCGAGCGGTTTAATCTTTGTCCGCAGGGAGTTTTCTATTGATCCCGATAACGGCATCCCAATTGGTGTCGTTATCCAGTTCCACAGCCGCCGGGTGGTGCAGCGTAAGCCGCGAATGATATCCCATCCAGTCTGCCCTGAGACCAGCCCTTTCGCATCACCTGGCGAGGCATTGCCCATCTGGCGGCGCCCATTGAAGCGCCCAATGGAGTTCCCCGAACTTAATCCCACCGCTTCTGGCGTAGCCAACATCCATCGTCGTAAACCAGTCTTGAACCATCGGGCGCCTTGTCTGGCGGAAATGAAATCGGTACGTCTGATAAACTGGAATCAGTTTCCATTCAGCTATGGGTGATTTCGATGAGGTAACAACCGCTGATTGCTCCTGACACCAGGCGATACATAAGTCCCCAGGAGTCGCCGAATAGTCGCATCTGGCGACTTCCGGCACCATTGTTCGCGCCGAACATTTGGCTTATTTATGTTCGATCTTATCGAATCTCTGTTCCTGGCGGCCACAAAACACCGGAACAGAAAACGTGTTATTGGCGACGTATGCCATCTGATTCAGACGGCAACGTGGCGAGCAGGAAACACCACCATGCGCGTTCTTTGCTCATCTCCTGGTCAGGGCACGCTTTACGCCGCAATGGCGTGACCGGCATCATCCCCGAACAAATGGGTTTAGTTAACGCTCCTCTGAGATGGCATCGCCTGGTCGGCTTTTTGCCGATTTGCCTGTTTTGGATGCTCTGATAACCACAGTCTCCCCAAATAACTGACTTAGTATTAGATCCAACCTTGGCCAATGACACAGAATGAACTACCCAAAGTGCCATCCGTGAAATGTTATCCCTGACATATATTTTGGAAGACTGACTGACTGAGTTTGGTTTTACGCTGCTTTTAGCAATATTCCAGCAACATCACGGCGGGGAACACCAGAAATGGGCTTCACACATTGTACCCTTGTGGGGATTCGAAACCGGATCTTTGGCGTGACAAGGCCAACGCTTTAACCACTAGGCTACCCAAACTGACTGAGTTTAGTTTTACGCCGCTTTTAGCAATATTCCAGCAATATCACGGCGGGGGACACCAGAAATGGGCTTAACACATTGTGCCCATGTGGGGAATCGAACCCAGGTCTTCGGCGTGACGATAGCGAACGCTACCCAAACGCCCCTATTTTGGAAGACATGACAAAAACAGAACAACATGATTGACTTCATTCATAAAATGGAGAATAAGGAACTGACTTCTCACCTTCTAAATGCTGTTCAAAAACTCTGACTTAATTAAGTTTATTGAGTAAAAGTATATGACTAAATATCTAAAAACATCAAAAAATGTTTTAAAGGTTAAACATGTCCAAGAAATTACAAAATTCTTTCATTGGACATGTCTTAATGAATGGATGAAAAAATTTCATTAAAAATAAATTAAATACAAAGATCTTAAAACTGTTTCAATAGACATTAAAAAGGAGTGACATCAAACCGTTGTATGAATCAACGTTAACATACAAGGCTAAAATTGCACAACAACTAACAGTGCCAGCAATACATCAAACAACATTTTAAGAAAATGGAAAGTGAGACGTCTCAGCTGCTACAGCTGCTGCAGCTGTTGACAAGCTTCCATTGTTTTACCTGACTCATGGGGACTTGTTGAGTTTCATGGTTCATTTTGAACACAGGAAGATGTAAACTGCTAGGTTTCTTTCTAAACATGTTAATGCACACTACATGTTCACAATGAATTTGACAAGAAATGTGTAGAGCTGAAATTGTAATGGTGCGTGGGCAATGTCTACATCTTCAACAAAATCTTTATACAATGGTTTACATACAGGATCCTCCCAGAACAATAACATCCCTATCAATAGATGAGTGATACATAATCTCGTCATGACTGGTGACGATTTACAAGCAAGAATCACCATTTGGCAAGAATCACCATTTCGGTTGGACACTTTACTTACTCAAACACATCCTCATCAACAACTAAAGCTTATTGCACCATGATTAGACAACAGAACGAAATCTAATCTCTCTTCTTCCGTTTGGTATTTTTTCCATGTAAACCATTCTTGACCCCATTTGTATTTCCGTTGGTGACAGACTTGTTTTTTGTCTTTACAAGGCTGAAGTGAACATACTTGTTGAGGACGATAGCACCATAGCAACCAAGGAATGCCCCGACCCAGTACACTAAGACGTGTTCCCAGGCAGATGTGCCTTTACATCCGAACGACAAACCAGACGCCATTGCCGGCTGCATGTACATTCCAGTCAGATGGAGTCCTGTGGAGAAACATAATTGTTGATTGTACCACTGTGAGAATATAATCAAACCATAAATCATAATGCCAACTCAATCACAAATTGTCCTGTAAATATCCGATACAAATAGATGCAATGAAATACATACATGAGTAAAGCTGAGGCGATACAATATACACAAACATGATCTATTTCTTCAATGTTTACGTGACTCTCTTACGTTGCTTAACAATAAACCAGTGAAGATCTGGGTTAGAATTGGTCTTCAGCAACCCATGCTTGTCTAAAGAGGTGACTAACAGGACTGGGGTGCCAGGCTCTCTGACTTGGTTGATGTATGTCATTGTATCCCATTTGAGTAGATCAATGTAGATGTAGATGCTGTTAATCACTGGATTGTCTGGCCCAGACTCTATTTACACACCGCCGTGATAAATTGATCACATAGTCACAAAGGAAAGGACTGGCCATTTAATAATTTGGAAAGACCAGGGTTATTTTCTGGAAAAATTGTCCTTAGGATATAAAGAAAATATTAAACTATTCAATGGACAAGCTGGATGTCCTGCAAAAATGATTCCTTAAACCACAGATATATTTAGCTTCATTCTCTTCCCACAGAGGTTACTTTCCATATCTTCCTACGAACCTCTGTTCTAATACGCCCCTTTCATGGTGCGAGTGTTCAGGATTCGTGATTGGTTGCAATCAGATTTAGTTGTGCAATCAGCGACCAATGGCTGATCAATGGCGTGTCCACTGCCCTCGTTGACAACGGACAAGCTAGCCATTAAATGTCTTGTGTGTCACATCAACACAAGTCCCCGGCAGAGGAGGGATATTTGTGGAGCCATTTTTACTTGCATTAGTCAAGTTGGATCTAAGTCAATGTAACACGCGTTCTGATTGGATAGAATTAGAAAGAAGGGAGATAATTTGTGTTGCGATTTTTTGCTGCTAGGGGATTTTACGAGAACCAGGAAATATGGCCGCATTAGAGCAGAGGTTCGAAGGAAGATTTGACAAGTAACCTCTGTGGGAAGAGGATGATTTAGATTATACTTTCAACAAAAATAATTATGCTCTGAAATGTTACCCCCGAAAACATTCCTTTTGTTTGTTGTCAACATTAACTCAGCTCATATGAAAAAATAGATCACTAAGATTCACTCAGAAGGCATCATAGATGAGTAGTTTTTAATTAAACAATCACCCATTATTTCTTCCATTGGTAAGAATAAATGTGCACATGCATTGTAATTTTGTTCTTCAATAGGAACATAGGGCAAATAACAATATAGTTCATGAAAGGAGGAAATGTAATCAGTCCTTACCAAGGCAAACCAAGATGGTTCCATTCAGTGTCTTGACTGCTTCATCAAGGAGTGAGAATCTAAAGAGAGGTTGATAGGAGAGCCATGTGTCGTACATCACTCCCATCATCTCGATGAGGAAGCCCATGAATATTGAAACCTTCAGATCTGTGTCACATCCCACTGCTCTCATGCTATTCACATGATCAGGATGAAACTCAAACGACCAGATCAAGTTGACAAGCCGGAATGATGCAAATGCTGCTGCTATCTGGATAACGATTCTCACAAGAGTCTTGAACAGGGATAACTTTTTGGCAAGGAAATCTTCAAACAAAGACAGCGGTGATGGTGATCCTTCTTTGAATGTGTGCATTGTCAACATCACTAAGGGTACAGCCACTGCACAATATCCGATATGTCCGGCAAAACTGCGAACAAGTCCATGGCCGTAAGGATACGCGCAGATTATGAGGGTTTTGAAGAAGTCGAGGATGTAGATCTTGAGTGATTTGGGGAAGAGTTGGTGGGAGATTGTGTAGAATGTAAAACAGATGCTGTATGCAATGATGTAGAAAAGGAGCGCTGCAACCAGTGGATGAAGGTAGTCGACCGATGGGTCGTGCCCCACGGTGATCGCCCATAACTGCCGCCAGTTCATTTTCTGGAGAGAGAAACAAACAATGACAACAACACCAAAAGCTGAAACAATGATGGAACTCAAAATCTGACCTGGAGTGTTGGGTTACTTGAAAAAAGACTTGAGTTACATAACATAGTGCAGTGCATGCTTAGCGTAAGATAATATTTCACAGTAATGTAAGGTGTAATGTACATGTAAAATCACCTTAGTAAACACCAAGAGGTCAGTTACTTTGGTGACAACAACTAATAATAAAGAATAATCTCGGAACTAAACCCATGATGACCAGTGTATATTACACTGACAAGAGTAAAGGAGTGAGTGAGTTTAGTTTTACGCCGCACTCGGCAATATTCCAGCTATATGGTCTAGACCAGACAATCCAGTGATCAACGACAAGAGTAAAGGACCTCACAGACCACAATGTCAACAGTCATCAGAGTAACCAGAGTAAACTTGCTCACTTCTATCATTTTAACTTTCTGCATAATTTTCCGCATCATATCAATCAGACACAGTAATCCATGCTTGACTACTGACAGTGGATGGAAAGTGCAGGTGTGTGCCTAGTAGGGCTGTGACAGGTAGCAAAAAATGGAATTGAGTACCCGCATGTACTTACCCGAATCGGAACCGATAACACGGAAATGTTAGGAATACAGTGCTTCTGTCAACTTTCTGAATATTCAATCGCGATTTGACAGAGATTATTATTGAAAAATTATAAGGGTGTCAATAAGACATTAAAATTATCTCAAGCTATATAATTTACGTCTGTTTAACCAATATAAAGAGTAACACCATTACTTACATTGCTCGTTAAAATAAACTTTTCGTTCCTACTGTTACTGTAACTTGACTATTCATGGCACATGCACAGATAAATTACAGTCGTTAATGATAATCTCCATTAACCAGACAATACCAATGATGTAAATGTGTGTTACGTTATAATGAAAAAGACAAGTTATTATCTGCCCTTGTCATAACAGAGTTCTCTCCCTTTCCGGGTACTCGATTCTTGGAAATAGGACTCGATTCCAGGTGTATCCGACCCGGATTCGAGTACCCGTCCCAGCCCTAGTGCCTAGGGGTGCTTGTTGGTAAACTTGGGACGGAAGAAGCTTCTCTTTCTCCCTCATTTCACTTAAATTTTCATTTAAAAAATCCCACCTATATCACTTTTAAGAAAAGTATGAACTCATTATTTATAAATAGTTTGTATTTTCTTAGAAGTCAGATCTTAAACCGCATTCCATGCAATGATGCCCAACTTAGCCTTATAGTGTTGAACTCTTTAATGGTCCATTGTGTGCAGTACACAACCCTGTGCACTTAAAAGAACCCACTCATCCAATGGTAGGTGACCAGTTGGTGGACACACAAACTCGTGCAGACACCTAGTTGCGGGTATAGTAACATGAGGTAACATTGGACAAAATACTGTGACTATGTGTCTATCAAACTATGAGGCTTGTGTGATAACTGCTGCTCTAACAGGCTGCATAAGTTGCATACTCCCCAGGGAGTTGGTTGGTTAAAAGAATGCCAGAAAAAACATCCATTGATCAAGGGAACTTGAGCATGTACTAGTTGTGTGGATATGTGCTATATAAATATCATATCATATATACCATACCATACCATACCATACCATACCATACCATACCATACCAAACCATATATACCATACCAGATACCATACCATACCATACCATACCATACCATACCATATCATAAATCATATATCATATCAGACCATACCAGTGAAATAAATAAAGACTGTTCAACCTCACCAAGCTCACTAGCACAATAACAGGACTTGAGATCATTTTCAATTGCTCAGCTTAAAAGTGAGTGAGTGAGTGAGTTTGGCTTTTACGCTTTTAGCAATATTCCAGCAATATCACGGTATGGGGACACCAGAAATGGGCTTCACACATTGTACCCATGTGGGGAATCGAACCCGGTCTTCGGCGTGATTTAGCTGAACGCTTTAACCACTAGGCTACCCCAATCACTCTGCTCAGCTTAAAAACTCATGAGGTGGGGGGTAGCCAAGTGGTTAAAGCATTCATGAAGACACAGATTCAACTCCCCACATTGGTACATTGCTGGGGTACAGTTATACTGCTGGAAATAAGTGGTGTAAAACAATCAGAGCTCGAAAATTCCACTTTCGTCTGCTCATATTGACGAGTAAAATGTGTTCCGCAAGTGAAAAGCATAATTTGCTTGTCCTAGAGGGATCGAATGCGCTTTCTGACCCAAAAGTTTTTCTTTTTCCTTGAAGTTAAGCTATCTTAATAAGTGAACGAATTCAATTTTGTCTCAAAGATTTTGTACAGAAGGCAAAGTAAGTAATGTTTATTGTAGTTTTCTTCCAAGCAAACATTTTGAAATAAAATATATTAAACTTATATTCATTGTGATGCATGATCTATAGGGAAGTACAATTTTAGAAGGACGAGTGGAAAGTTAATATTACTTGCCCAACAGGGCGCGTGCAGATTTTTTAATTTTTCAAGCCCTGACAATACTCACTCACTATTTCATTAAATAATCCCTAGGGAAGATAAGTATGGTGCAATTTGAGCAAAAGTAATGCCTTGTTCCAAAAGGGATTTACAAAATATAATTGTCAGTGAGGCCCCTCAAAAAATATTCTGCCACTATGTTAAATTATGAGCAATAGAGGAGCTTTGTAATAAAGCCATAAGCAAGCTAGACCCAATGAAACACACTGAGACAGACACAATTTAATTGTCACTGAACATGCTAGATCATTCAGGCTGTCACATCTCCATCCCATTACAACAATTTCCCTGGAGCCATTCCCCACCAAAGCTTTGGTTGGAGTCCAGCGCAAACAATATGACAATAAACATAGTCTTCCAATCAAGTTACATGATCAACTGATGATACTGGTCAGAGGAACTCTGTAAACATGGTACAGGAGAGGTAATGATATCTGAACTCAACTGGTCATTATGCACACTCTCAAATACAACCAGGGAATCCTGGTAGCATAAGGTCTTCCCTACCTCATCTCAATACAATGTACTTAAGAAAACATCTTTTCTTGCCAAAAGTTCATTCGGAGTCATAGTAACATCCTTTATTTTAAATTTGTTCTGGACTTTTTCGACCAAGGTAGTGTTTTTCTAATGTAGATCTGTGTCCAAAACGAGTGATTTAAAGATGACTGAGTGGGTGAGTGAGTTTTACGCCACTTTTAGCAATATTCCAGCAATATCATGGCGGGGTACACCAGATATGGTTTTCACACATTGTACCCATGTGAGGAATCAAACCCGGGTCTTCAGCATGATGAGCGAATGCTTTATCCACTAGGCTACCCCGATGCCCCAGTTATATATATATATATATACATAGTATATATATTAAGATGAGCAATTTGGTTGTTGCATTTAATAACCTCAGCAACAGCAATTCTGGACACAAAAGAAAAGCTTTGGGTCTGGGGAATAGATAACAAAACCAAGATGTATTGCCATGATTACTATGCTGGATAATCAAGAATGGTCACAGCAGTGTTTTATGTTTACAAAGAAATAGTAATCAGAAGAGTGATTGTACTCAGTAGATGGCTGGAGTAAATACAATTACCCCCAGTAATGTTGGATTTAGCTGTTCAAACAACACAGCTGTTATCAAGATGTGAACTATGCGATTGTTTTAAGCATTGATCTCTATCCAGCGAAACACAGCTGTGCAATCTTGAATTATTTGGGGTCAATTTCCAGTTTAAGTTAACAGTCAAATCTGTTCTGGGAACTCTGCCTTTGTATTACTGCCAATTTCTATCATACCAACAGTCACAGAACAACAGGGCAGCCATGATTCCACTATGAATAAGTATGATGCAAATAGGAAACATATCACAATATTAGGTAACACATACAGACATTGAATAACTACTGTGATAACAAGTCTTCTGGCTGAAGTTTTATTTAATAAATTTGATATATAGAGAATCTCACCCGAGTGTCTTTTGATATCAAATATATCACCACGAGTTGATAAAGTAACAAATATCCGAGGCTTGCCGAGGATATTTTTACTTTTATCAACAAGTGTTGATATATTTGATATCAGAAGACACAAGGGTGAGATTCTATTTATCATCAAAAATCACTCTTTATTAGTTTTCAATGAAAAATGTACATCTCTGAACACAGTACTGCCATTAGATTTGCAGTGCAGCGATGTCATAACATTGTGACATCAACAAGTTCATGACATCATAGCATTGTCAGGGCATTGTACAAAATCTACTGTCAAAACGATATCTCCTAGGAGATATCATCTGATCTCACTCAAGCGATATCTATTGTGGAACACAGTTTTGGATGATAAAAATATTTCTTTGACATGTTTTGACCATATTGACTCTGTTAGTTTATCATGTCAATGATCAGTGATCACATATTGTCAAATGTTGGCTATCATCCTGCCTGGCTTTGATACATTTCATTTAGCATATCTCATTGTGATAAAAAACATCCAAACTCAAGTAAAAACACTGCTTTTAAAATGCATGAACATTCAGATTAATAAACAGAATTCATGAAGTGATCAGGTTTGTTTCACCAAATACAAAAGTGAATTGTAAAAGCCCTACTGAACAATCCTTGACAGCAGGAATGAGGCAACATGGTTTTTTTTACCCTAAAACAGGACTATTGGGATCAGTGGTCATACCCACTGAGTAAAGGGTTAATGACTGTCAAGCTATCCCAACAGCGTACATCGATGTTCATGATGTCAATCACTGGATTATCTGGTCATGAGTGGGGGAGTGAGCGAGTATGGTTTAACACCGGTTTTAGCAATATTCCAGCAATGTCACATTGGGGACACCAGAAATGGGCTTCACATATTGCACTTATGTGGGGAATCCAACTTGGGCCTTTGGTTTGACAAGCGAACATTTTAACCGTTACACCACAGTCCTATCTGGTCATGACATAATTATTTACAGACTCATATAGCAGGAATGTCATGCTTTTATAAACAAAAAACAACCATGTCCTCTGCTGGTCTTATCATGTCCATACATCCAATGTGGTAATGAATTACGAACAACAACAAAAGTAATCAATAACATTACAAACGTGACCTGCTGACAGCAATGTACAACCTAAACATCTGCCACCATCTCCAACATTAGAGCTCTAACACACATCAAGCAGCAGAAAAATTCATGTTCGGTATATGTAAGCAGCTGTCCTACCTTGTAGTGTTGGGAATTGGTTGAAATCTCACAATCGATGATTGCTTCATTACCAACGAACAATCATCAAAAAAAATTGGTTAGCGTCATTTTTCAGATTTTCCTATCCAGGTTGTTACTGCAGAAAAGTATAACATGATGCAACTTGTTACTTTAAAGTGATGACTAATATATCATGAACATAAATGTCCTGGAGTCTTAGAGAAATATTCAGTCATGATTTTTCAGTTAGTGAAGTGAGTTTTCTAAGACTGACTGACTGAGTTTGGTTTTACGCCGCTTTTAGCAATATTCCAGCAACATCACGGCGGGGGACACCAGAAATGGGCTTCACACATTGTGCCCATGTGGGGATTCGAACGCGGGTCTTCGGCGTGACGAGCCAACGCTTTAACCATTAGGCTACCCCACCGCCCCGAGTTTTCTAAGATATAAACATGTTTCCAGGCCCTGACAACTTCTAACATATGTTCCATTGTCAAGTATTTCAAAGACTAAAACAGTAGATCCAAAATCGTTTAAGTTCGATTATGAGAAAATGTGATTGATTGTTTGGTCGTTTGGTCACTGTGACCAATCTTCAATTATTTCAATTAATCGGAACACCACTACTACCTTGATAGACTTGTGAAAGACACAGTGCAGTTTTACTTCCACTATATACAACAGTAAAACAGTTCCACCTCACGTACAGGATCGATGCTCATGCTGTTGATCATTGGATTGTCTGATCTAGACTTGATTATTTACAGACGGCCGCCATATAGCTGGAATATTGTAAAACAACTCACTCACATTTTGAGGAAAAACACAAGGACTGCTGAACTCGTGAACACTGTGGCTGAGACTGACTGAGTATGGTTTTACGCCGCTTTTAGCAATATTCCAGCAACATCACGGCGGGGGACACCAGAAATGGGCTTCACACATTGTACCCATGTGGGGATTCGAACCCGGGTCTTCGGCGTGACGAGCCAACGCTTTAACCACTAGGCTACCCCACCGCCCTGTGACTGAGAAGGGTATGTAAGTTAAAGTGTGGCATGGTATCTGAGTTGAATAGCACTGGAGAACTGGAATAAGTCCAGACTAGTACAGGTACATGAAAACTCACACAATCATATTGCTATATAAAAGCAATAATGTTAACCTTCACATTCCACCCAATGTCAGGCCTCCTGACTGTAATCCTAGGAGAACAAAGACTCAGTTTGTGTGTGAAGTAACTGAACACCACATGATAACGACACCATAGGTGACATAGACACAAGGGTCATGTTGTTTTCAAGGGTCAATGAGCAACGCCTGGGGAAATCTTCGGTGCTAGGAAAATAAGGCTTTATCTACAGACTGGCTGAAATTGTATCACAGACTATACCATGAGAAGACACATCAGTAATATCCAAATATAATAGTCTAGTCTATGTTGAGCCCATGCAAACATATAAAATATTAAATTTATCACAACTGAAGCAAATTACCCCTGAAAATAATCCTATCTTTGATGCTAAAGGCAAAGGTATTTATGCCCAAAGCATTTAGCCACACACTATACAGTCAAACTTTTCGACCCTTCATTGTATATAAATACTTAGGCCTCAAGTAACACATATTTTCACTACTACCAGTATTGTGAAACAGTCATACTGCATATGAACTCATAAATTATCATATCAGGCATTTATCGTTATTGTGTTTATTAAGATTCAGAGTAATTTGTGACAATTACAACACAAAATTTAAAAACTTTGCATTCTGCATGATTTTCATTTCCATACAAAGTTTATCTAATTTAAGATTAACTTGTACGTCAAAACGTCCAAACTTGATATTTCATGCCAATCACATTAGATTTTAGTGTTAGGATATAACTGACAACAATGATCTCATAATTATCATGATTTATCTTTGATTCAAAATTAACTGTCAAATTGCAAAGCAATTTTAACAATATTTTTTTAATTGACTATTTTAAAAGTTTATCATTTCCTCAATAAAAGGGGCATTTAGCATAAACACAAAATTCAGAAGTTGACATCCAGAAATTCTCGCCTGTAAGTGTATCACTTCTAAATGCCGTTCAAAGTCTTTATTTTGCATAAGATTTACCAATTCCTTCCAAGGAATAATGCTAAACTAATCATTAAGGCCTCTTCCTCTGTCCTGTAACCAATGAAATACAAAACGGTTACAAAGCCATAGCAGCTTAAAACTGGAATTGTTTATTTCCCATCTGGGAATTCCTTACTGACTTTGGGAATTCCTTACTGACTTTGCCCTAGGTTGGAGGCTAAATATCGCCCTTTAAGCATGCCCAGATGAACTGTGGATTATCAGATGGATTATCCTGATAGGATACCTCTTTATGTGAGCACCTAATGACCCTTACATACCAGTTGTTACAAATTATCCTTCTCATCTGTAGTAGCAAGGACGTTTTCATTTCTCAGTAGAAGTGAACAAATTCAGTCCAGCATATCTGATTTCAGTATCTTGAAAACAAACATAGGCCTGTTCCAAACATAGGTTACTAAGGCCATATTTTTGTTGTAATTTCCATGTCTAAGTGAGTGTCATTATACTTACATCCACAGGAAAGTGGGTGTAACCAGAAATATGTTCATGCTTTAAATTTTTGGTTGCCTTCATACAAACAAAAATCTGAGAATCAAGATGGGAAGGAATGAAACTGAATCTTTGCAGAAAGCAGACATCAGCTGACTAAAGAACCAATACCTCCTTCACTTAGCTACAGCAGTCAATCTTACCCACGGTTCACCCGACTTGACCCCCACGGGCACACTGGAGGTAAAAGTCTTCATTCAAAGATATATCATATCAAAGTACGTACGTAATTACAGATCTGATTAATGTGAGACTTGCGGACAAGCAAAAGCACATACCCCTTGACCAGCATACATTTCACTAGACTCTGGATACAGACAAGTGTCTAAAGTTGCAGTCTATTTGTGAATGCTATTCCTGTTTGCTACGTTCTGGGGATGTAGGAAGTGTTTACAGCAGTTTTAACTCCGGTCACACTGCCTCAGATGTACAACCTTACAAGACAAGGTAAACAGGTATGGAATATGTTCTGTTAAAAGGAATGAAGCAATACCTGCTTTTTGTCCATTTCACCTGAACTTTAAACCATTTGAAACAAATATACTGAAAACTGAGCTTGCAGACACAATTCAGACCTTGGATTGCTCACACAATTATCATTGCATGACAAGAGAATGTTATCATGATTGTACATGCACCTAATAGATATTATAATGTAGATTCTATCAGAATGTTCAAACTGTACACAGCATGCATAGATTACAACACAAAAATAATTCACTTAATCAAAGATATTACCATTCTGCTGAGTTTGCAGTTACTCAAAATATGATATGTTATGTTTTCAATGTTTTATTTATTCATGAATTTATATGCAGGTTACTGCCATGTCAGCATTTATATATGTTAATAAAGAAAGAAGACAGAAGTAGTGCAGTGTTTCAGTGATTATACACACACAAATTTTGATTGTATGTACAGGGGAGGTGCGATAGCCTAGTGGTTAAAGCGTTCACTCGTCACGCTGAAGAGTCGGGTTTGATTCCCCACATGGGTACAAGGTGTGAAGCCCATTTCTGGTGTCCCTCGCCGTAATATTACATGAATATTGATAAAAGCGGCACAAAAACCATATTCCCTCACTTGTATGTAAAAATAACCAAAGTGAAAATAGAAGCAACAATACAATGTATCTAATTAAGACTCTTTACCTTTCAAACAATTATTAATAGGAATTTGGAAGTTTGGTGGAAGCACGGCAAGGAGTATTCGGGATAAAAATATTGTCATTACAAGTACCCTTTTCAAGAGTATAAAGAAACATGGGGTTGTAATGTAATAACTGTCAGCAAGGTATATAGTGTCACTGATTGGGTCTTATGACAATATGAAGTGTGACAATTTATACCCTGATGACAGTTTTTCGCGTTAGAAGCGCCTGTTCTGTTAAGGTGAGAAGAATACCCACGAACAGCACTGTGTATGAGTAATAAAGTTATTTTAGCTATGTTACTCCTTTTAAAGATCAAATAACGTTGATTAAAATTTTAATGTAACTTGAGTCATTTAAATGAAAACATGTCTTAATATAACAAATTAATTCGAAACGCAAACAACTTTACTCCAAAAACACTTTACCGTGGCCTAAGTCACGTAGGAATATTTGCCCATACATACACGTCCTCATTCATAAACTCGTTAAATTCTGATTCTGTCTGAATACAAAATACACATGCTCCTAACCTCCTTAACAAGAATGAATGACAACTAATCACGAACACAATTTGTCAACAAATAAAGACCTCCTACCTATCGCTTTCACAATCGTTGGATGATCGTGAAGTTGAAACGTTGTCGACGAGCTATCGGGATGGTACCAACAAGCGTTCAAGCCCGTGCGACTCGATCAGATGACAGGCGCGATGTCGGTGAACACCTCTCCGTCTAGGGCTATCTCCTATCTATTGTCGACCTCCGTGTATTGGAACTCGATGTCATTTCACCACTCTCGGTTGTAAACATTGCTTTACCCTGTCGAACGCAAGATCGAGCCGGTGACAGCTTGTGCACTTGGCGCATGCGCGGTGAAGCGGCGTGACACTGAACGGGCCTTTTGATATTATATCAACTGGATAGCGTATACGATCAAGGGAGATAACTATTGTATAGCATAAAGTAATGTGTGGTCGTGCAGAGAGAACAGACGTGTTAACGGACACAAATAATAATGTTATGATCACGGAGGAAGGTTAGCGTGTGTCCTTGATACAGTCTGGTAGAACATGTTAGTTGAAATCGTGATTTTGGTCAGAAAAATATGGAAGAAATGTTTCTCAACGAAATGCCCACAAAAATGATGTAAAGCAAATATGTACCTAAGGGGTGGTACACCAGGTACAAAGTAAACACGAAGAGCTTTCGTGGATACGTGGGAATCAGACGTTAAGAAAAGCAGCTTTCTTTGAAGACCAGCTTAATTGTTACGAGTTCTCGAGTGACAACCTGTTAGTCCAGCAATACATCATGGCACCAATAATTATATTTACACACTCTGCATGAGTGTATATCAATATACTCCATCGGACATAGGTGGACACAACGGTGTTAGTTTTCATATGTAAATGTAACATGACAGACGAAATATAAATTAACAACGGACGGACACGCTGACATTAAATTTGACATATAATTATATAATATTTAGAATGACACACTGCATTAAAAAAGACAACGGATAGACACACCAACATACAATCTTGCCTGTAATATGAAGATGACACACTGAATATAAACACACAAAGGCTGACAGCACTCACTGTCATTACACGTCACCTGTAATATGAAGAATGACACACTGAATATAAACACACAAAGGCTGACAGGACTCGCTGTCATTACACGTCACCTGTAATATGAAGCATGACACACTGAATATAAACAGACAAAGGCTGACAGGACTCACTGTCATTACACGTCACCTGTAATATGAAGCATGACACACTGAATATAAACAGACAAAGGCTGACAGGACTCGCTGTCATTACACGTCACCTGTAATATGAAGAATGACACACTGAATATAAACAGACAAAGGCTGACAGCACTCACTGTCATTACACGTCACCTGTAATATGAAGCATGACACACTGAATATAAACAGACAAAGGCTGACAGGACTCACTGTCATTACACGTCACCTGTAATATGAAGCATGACACACTGAATATAAACAGACAAAGGCTGACAGCACTCACTGTCATTACACGTCACCTGTAATATGAAAGCAAGACACACTGAATATAAACAGACAAAGGCTGACAGGACTCACTGTCATTACACGTCACCTGTAATATGAACACAATGACACTGACAGGCAGACTCGATTACACGTCACCTGTAAACTGAGACAAAGGCTGACAGCACTCACTGTCATTACACGTCACCTGTAATATGAAGCAAGACACACTGAATATAAACAGACAAAGGCTGACAGGACTCACTGTCATTACACGTCACCTGTAATATGAAGCATGACACACTGAATATAAACAGACAAAGGCTGACAGCACTCACTGTCATTACACGTCACCTGTAATATGAAGCATGACACACTGAATATAAACAGACAAAGGCTGACAGGACTCGCTGTCATTACACGTCACCTGTAATATGAAGCGCATGACACACTGAATATAAACAGACAAAGGCTGACAGCACTCACTGTCATTACACGTCACCTGTAATATGAAGAATGACACACTGAATATAAACAGACAAAGGCTGACAGCACTCACTGTCATTACACGTCACCTGTAATATGAAGCATGACACACTGAATATAAACAGACAAAGGCTGACAGCACTCACTGTCATTACACGTCACCTGTAATATGAAGCATGACACACTGAATATAAACAGACAAAGGCTGACAGCACTCACTGTCATTACACGTCACCTGTAATATGAAGAATGACACACAGAATATAAACAGACAAAGGCTGACAGGACTCGCTGTCATTACACGTCACCTGTAATATGAAGCATGACACACTGAATATAAACAGACAAAGGCTGACAGCACTCACTGTCATTACACGTCACCTGTAATATGAAGCATGACACACTGAATATAAACAGACAAAGGCTGACAGGACTCACTGTCATTACACGTCACCTGTAATATGAAGCATGACACACTGAATATAAACAGACAAAGGCTGACAGCACTCACTGTCATTACACGTCACCTGTAATATGAAGAATGACACACTGAATATAAACAGACAAAGGCTGACAGGACTCGCTGTCATTACACGTCACCTGTAATATGAAGAATGACACACAGAATATAAACAGACAAAGGCTGACAGGACTCGCTGTCATTACACGTCACCTGTAATATGAAGAATGACACACTGAATATAAACACACAAAGGCTGACAGGACTCGCTGTCATTACACGTCACCTGTAATATGAAGAATGACACACTGAATATAAACAGACAAAGGCTGACAGCACTCACTGTCATTACACGTCACCTGTAATATGAAGCAAGACACACTGAATATAAACAGACAAAGGCTGACAGCACTCACTGTCATTACACGTCACCTGTAATATGAAGAATGACACACTGAATATAAACAGACAAAGGCTGACAGCACTCACTGTCATTACACGTCACCTGTAATATGAAGCATGACACACTGAATGTAAACAGACAAAGGCTGACAGGACTCACTGTCATTACACGTCACCTGTAATAAGAAGAATGACACACTGAATATAAACACACAAAGGCTGACAGCACTCACTGTCATTACACGTCACCTGTAATATGAAGAATGACACACTGAATATAAACACACAAAGGCTGACAGCACTCGCTGACATTACACGTCACCTGTAATATGAAGCAAGACACACTGAATATAAACACACAAAGGCTGACAGCACTCACTGTCATTACACGTCACCTGTAATATGAAGAATGACACACTGAATATAAACAGACAAAGGCTGACAGGACTCGCTGTCATTACACGTCACCTGTAATATGAAGAATGACACACAGAATATAAACAGACAAAGGCTGACAGGACTCGCTGTCATTACACGTCACCTGTAATATGAAGAATGACACACTGAATATAAACAGACAAAGGCTGACAGCACTCACTGTCATTACACGTCACCTGTAATATGAAGAATGACACACTGAATATAAACAGACAAAGGCTGACAGGACTCGCTGTCATTACACGTCACCTGTAATATGAAGAATGACACACTGAATATAAACAGACAAAGGCTGACAGGACTCGCTGTCATTACACGTCACCTGTAATATGAAGAATGACACACTGAATATAAACAGACAAAGGCTGACAGCAGTCACTATCATTACACGTCACCTGTAAATATGAAGCAAGACACACTGAATATAAACAGACAAAGGCTGACAGCACTCACTGTCATTACACGTCACCTGTAATATGAAGAATGACACACTGAATATAAACAGACAAAGGCTGACAGCACTCACTGTCATTACACGTCACCTGTAATATGAAGCATGACACACTGAATATAAACAGACGAAGGCTGACAGGACTCGCTGTCATTACACGTCACCTGTAATATGAAGAAGCACTATGACACACTAGAATATAAACAGACAAAGGCTGACAGGACTCGCTGTCATTACACGTCACCTGTTCTATGAAGCATGACACACAGAATTTAAACAGACAAAGGCTGACAGGACTCACTGTCATTACACGTCACCTGTAATATGAAGCATGACACATAGAATATAAACAGACAAAGGCTGACAGGACTCGCTGTCATTACACGTCACCTGTAATATGAAGAATGACACACAGAATATAAACAGACAAAGGCTGACAGGACTCACTGTCATTACACGTCACCTGTAATATGAAGCAAGACACACTGAATATAAACACACAAAGGCTGACAGCACTCGCTGACATTACACGTCACCTGTAATATGAAGAATGACACACTGAATATAAACAGACAAAGGCTGACAGCACTCACTGTCATTACACGTCACCTGTAATATGAAGCATGACACACTGAATATAAACAGACAAAGGCTGACAGGACTCGCTGTCATTACACGTCACCTGTAATATGAAGAATGACACACAGAATATAAACAGACAAAGGCTGACAGACAGCACTCGCTGTCATTACACGTCACCTGTAATATGAAGAATGACACACTGAATATAAACAGACAAAGGCTGACAGCACTCACTGTCATTACACGTCACCTGTAATATGAAGAATGACACACTGAATATAAACAGACAAAGGCTGACAGGACTCGCTGTCATTACACGTCACCTGTAATATGAAGAATGACACACTGAATATAAACAGACAAAGGCTGACAGGACTCACTGTCATTACACGTCACCTGTAATATGAAGAATGACACACTGAATATAAACAGACAAAGGCTGACAGCAGTCACTATCATTACACGTCACCTGAAATATGAAGCAAGACACACTGAATATAAACAGACAAAGGCTGACAGCACTCACTGTCATTACACGTCACCTGTAATATGAAGAATGACACACTGAATATAAACAGACAAAGGCTGACAGCACTCACTGTCATTACACGTCACCTGTAATATGAAGTATGACACACTGAATATAAACAGACAAAGGCTGACAGGACTCGCTGTCATTACACGTCACCTGTAATATGAAGTATGACACATAGAATATAAACAGACAAAGGCTGACAGGACTCGCTGTCATTACACGTCACCTGTAATATGAAGCATCACACACTGAATATAAACAGACAAAGGCTGACAGCACTCACTGTCATTACACGTCACCTGTAATATGAAGTATGACACACAGAATATAAACAGACAAAGGCTGACAGGACTCGCTGTCATTACACGTCACCTGTAATATGAAGAATGACACACTGAATATAAACAGACAAAGGATGACAGCACTCACTGTCATTACACGTCACCTGTTATATGAAGAATGACACAAAGAATAGAAACAA